TTGGTGAATCTTTCATTTTTAAAGTCAGTTTGGAGTTGTATTGATACAAAGGCTGAAATTTTTCATTTTTGTTTCAATTTCAGTGGGTTTGTGGTATATTATTTGTCTAAAAATGACATCATGGAACAGATAATATACTGTTAAAATTTGAGATGTTTTTTATATTCCTGAAAGATTTCACAAATTCATCTCAGATGGCCTTTTATGTTGACATATTTTACACATGACATACCTATAATTTACTGAATTTCATATTTTAGAGCCTGGAAACCTGATTTTGAATAATTACTTGTACTTTGTAAATTTTGCTTCATTTCAGAAAATAACTCCTCAATGTTTCCTAAAATGAGTTGAAAGTTGAAAAATGTTTTGAATTTTGATATAATTCACTTGTATGGCAAATCTTCAATCAGTGAAGCACTGAATCACTTTTTCTCAAAATTAATCTGACATCTTTGGTAGTATTGTAAATAAAATTATTGAGGCAAATTTCAGAGAAAATTCTTTTTGAAAGTGATTAATCTGAAAAGTATCTGACCTCAGAAAGTTGATTGGCACATATTAAAAAAATTATGTAAATTATACTTTTCAGTGTCTTGGACATACAGTATTTTTTTCTTTTGGACAATTTATGCACTGATGAAAAATTAAATTGCTGAAGATGTTGTTCAAGGTGTCAATTAAATGTGGAAATCATCTTAAATTGATATTAATTATTTTGTTTACGGTTCTTGTCTGGTGAATACTGTACATTGGAAATGACTCCCAGGGGACCTGGAAGTGACCCAGAAATAGGATGGTATTTCTGGTGATTCCTTATGTAGACAACCTGTCATGAAAAGAATGAAGGCCAGAGATGATAAAGCAGAAAGACAGCAAAAAAAAAGAGGGAAACAAGTACTGGAGGACAGGAAGGGTGGGGGGGTTGGCAAGTACTGTGGAGTCATTGGGTTGTGTGACACCAGCAAACTTGACCGGTGAAGGACTCAGACTGGTCATTCAACCCATCAGTGAGCTGTCTCTTTTTTTTTCTTTCTTCTATCTTTTGTCATTCTATTGCATCCATTGTTTTATTTTCCAGTCTTTCTTCTTCCCTTTCCTTTGGCCCAATCTGCTTTTGTACCTGCACATTCCCAGCATTTATTTCTGGACTTCAGATTGGATTTATTATAGACTTGGGATCATGGGGGTCATTTGAGGTTTATTTATTTTTTTTTTCATCTGCTTTCCCAGCTGGAAGTCCATGCTTGTCAGTACTTTTTTTGTTTTTTGTTTACATCACCTGTTGAAAAGAAAATTCTTGACATTCCAACTGCAGCAGGTAGGCTTTTAAATGTTGAAACTGTTTCAAGTCAAATTAGTTTTGGGAGTTTTGAAGCAAAATGGGAAATAGATAATTGGGATATTTGGCAGTTCCCAATTCTGCATTTGCTTTTATTGAATTTAAAATTCATGTCTCACTACAAGAAGGAATTTTAAAATGGTGTGTTGTTGACAATTTTTGGTTGACTTTGTTTTCATAAATGCTGGAAGAAATGTATGCATTGACCCTGAAGTTCTTAACACTTCAAGACCTGGTCCTTTTCCTAGGAAAAAAAGAGTCCCAAAGTAAGTGACTCATTAAAAGTACCTGCAACAACTCACCACCCAGCCCTGAACACATAAATGTCAAGTGTCCCCTTTCACTGCACAAATACCCAAAAAATCCCTTCTACCCTCCTTTGCCATAAAATTCTTCTCTCTGGGTTTATGAATAAGAGCCAGCAGCTGCTGGCAGTGAGCATAAAAACCTGCAGTTACTCACAGAAAGCTTTTCCCTGCCTCTTATTATTTTTTTTGTAAAATCAATTTTTTGGTCTATTGAATAAAGGTATTTTCCTGAAGGCACTTTCTGAGCTGTGGGGGAATATGTGAGGCACACCCTTTGGAAATTGCTCTGAGTCAGCTAACATTAAAATAGTGGGTGGAAATTCACAAAATCCTTGGAGTTCAATAGTGCATCATGTTTTTTTTTTTTCATTTCTTGAGGAATGTCTGAAGCAAACACTTATTTTCTTCATGAAAATTCCATATAAGGAAGAAAAAAATGGAGAAAATCCATATAATGAAATATCTCATGAAACATACAAAATATTGCCTGACATCATCCAAAGCTCAACTGTTTAATTGTCTTCAAAAATGAGTTATTCACATCCTCTCATGAAATTTTGGATGAACTAATCTGATATTAAATGAACTAACCTGATATGATTCAAATGAATAAGAGGAAGTTCACTTGGTGTAAGTGACACAGTCTGATACAGTTGACCTAAAGTAATCTAGAAAATCAATATACTGTATTGTAATATAAATTGTGCTGAGCAATCTTTCTGGCTTGACCTAATTTACTCAAATTTACATCAAAGTAATTTTGAATGGCACATGATGTAAGTTGTTTGATTTTTAGAAGTAAATGGAGGCACTAAATTATAATATTCAGTACAATATGTTGTAATTTGCTGCAAGTAAACCCATGAAAACATGGGGACTTTACATTGCTGATGTGCCAATTTTTGAAGTTTAGAGATACCCAGCAGTGTTAAATCATGAATATATTCCAAGATGATGAGTAAAATAAACTGCAAAAATCTCAAGGATAATGTATTGAAATGTCAAATGCTGCTGGTGATTTGCCTTCAAAATCCACCAGAGACCAACAAAGAATGTTGAACTTAAAACAGAAACAATGACAAGGCATTCTTTGCAGCATATCTTGAAGTTGGAATGTCAGGAATTTGAACAGGTGATTTATGCTGCAATGACAAGCAGAATGTTTCACCTCCTATAGAAAAAAATTACAACATTACAAGGATTTTTGAATGGAGTCTTTTCTGTCATAATTTCCTCCTTCAATGCAGAAGTGAATTCTTGGAATGTGCAAAGTATTTTTTGCAGTATGAATGAATAAAAAAGTATTATGCAAGAATGCCTTAAAAATGTTTTGGTCAGCAAGTGAGTTTTAAAATCACATAATCTGCAACTTTGAAAAATGTGATGCCTTTATTGACATGTTTTTAACTCATGAAGAAAAATCTATGCTTTGACCATTGTAAGAAATGGCACATAATACAAGAGTCATTTATGGCTCATTTAATTTGCTCTGCCATTTGGGAGAGCCTGATCAGTTTAATTTTCAATAACTTATTAAATTCATCAAAAAATACTGCAGAAATTGATTGAAATATTTCTTGGTGATTTTTTTTCTGTAATTCAAAAACAAAATTCTCAAGAGTCTCTGATGCTTCAGATAAATTTTTTATTCCCTATTTCTGGCAGCATATAAAAATCAATATTTTGACTGTTTTTTTTCTTACAAATTTTGGCAGTTGAATTTTGCTAGGTGATTTTAATGTCCTTGGGAGAAATGAATGTTTGACCATGGGATCATTGTAAACAATGGGACACATCACATCAGTTTTGAGAAGCAGCAGAATAATTTATTTTTGCTGAAAGAAAATACAAATGGAATGATTTTCAGATTGGCCCTTTTATTGCCTGTCCACACACTATAATCTGAAATCCAGCTTTAAATTTTGGTCATGAATAAACAAAAAAATCAGTGGGTTCTGAAATGAATAATAAATATAAAGCAACTGTTTTTTCCTTGGTTTCCTGCTGAAGGAATGTCTGGAAGTTTGATATCCTTGTCCATGACCTTACTGAAATATTGAGAGACCCTGGAAACCCTTCTCCCCTTCCCCACTCTTCTGAAATTACCCATTTCCAAGAATGAGGAAAGCAAAAGTAAACTTTCTGCAGACACTAAGGGGTTGTGAGGTGGGAAGGATTTATTGCATAGTACCCAAAGTTTAGGAGGGGTTGCTGAGACTTTATGCCAATATCCCCCCCCCCCCCACCCACCCACACACACAAGCTATTTGAAACTAAAGGGTTTGCATGGGGGAGGTGTTGGGAGATGGCATGTTTTTTTTCTTCTTCTGGTTCAGACCTTGGGGCAATTTTTTTATTATTATTTTCTATATACATTACTGTATATATTTTTTTTAAAGGCTTATGTGTGTGATAATTTTATATCTTGATTCACATTCCTATATGTGGAGTTGATTTCAACAGTTTACTTGAATGCTTTCCCCTGTGTTGATGATAAAAATATGAAAAGTTTATGTACAGTAATTAATTTTATTTTCCTTGAATGAATGAACAAACAGAAAACTTTATTTGCCGCTTTTCAGCGTTCACAAGGCATAACCAGAACTTTGGCATCCAAACCCCCCCCCCCCACCCAACCCAACTCCCCCAAATACATTCAATCATTTCATATATAAGGCCAAAAAAATTTCTTGATCCTTTAAGAGTTCCAAAAGTGTCTCTTCATTGAATTTCAATAATTTTAAATCTTTCGTAAGCTGATTTCTATCTCTTTGAAATGCTGGACATGAGAAGAGAAGGTGCTCTGGTGATACACAAACTAATGTATTTATGCTGCAGGAGTTACACCACTTAGAAACCTTTGAGTTAGAATAAAGGTTAGAAGCCTTTATTTTCCTTGAGATTGAGAAGAAACAGAATGAAATTGGGACATGATTTACATTTTCATGGGTTCAATTCATTTCCCTGAAAGTATTTTTTATTTTGGAATTGAAAGCCAATTTTTAGGATTTGATGTTACACCCTCCTTTTCTTTTGGAACTGGGAAAAATGCATTTTGAATCTCTTCATTTTTTTCTTGAATATTTTTCTTGTGGAATTGAGTTTTGAAGTGAAAGGTAAGTTTTGCTTTGTGACTTGAAGATGCTGTTATATTATAAATAATCCTTCTTGAAAACGTGGAATTGAAAAAAACAGTGAATCATTTTATTTATTTTTTATCTTCATTTTCAAGGGAAAAAGGTGTGAAGTTCGTTTTGTTTTTATTTTCTTTTTCCGGAAAAAGTGTTTTGTGGAGGTGAGAGGGCTAGGGTTTGTTTTCACCCAGAGGTCGCCACTGGGGATGTGAAAAAATGGAGACTGATGAGAGGCGGCCAGACGGCGGCGGCGGCGGCGGCGGTGGTGGTGGTGGTGGTGGTGGTGGAATGAAAACGTCGTCCCGGCTGAACAACAACAACAACAGTAGGAGGCGGCTGCGGGAAAACACGGGGCGCCTAGACAAGGAGCGACACCTGGCGTCATCGCCAGAGTCTGACTCCAGCAACGCGGACCTCTCCAAGGAAAACCAAGCGGGTTCCCCTTGTTCTACCTCTCTTCTCACTCTGGGCATCTCGGGGTAAGACCAGCTGGGGGTCTACTTTCATGATTATGAAAACCCCCCTTTTTTATACTTTAATTTTACTGTAAGATTCAGTTTTCTCATCTTTTGTTGTTGTTGTTGTTGGCAACTGTCCTAGTATGTGTTGAATCAATTTATCTTTTAGCAGCAAAAAGTTTTATTGAGGAAGGAACAATTTTCAAGCATGTTTGGATTGAATATGCTTGAGAGCTATTTATACTATTCTGAAGAAATTGAAGAAAATAAATTAAAAAGGATTTTTGAAACTCTGGAAATGTGACATTTTGACAGATGACATTTTTTTACAACTTAGCTGAGAAAATTGTGCATTTTTATAAATTGTTTCTTGTACATTTATTTAGTCAAATTATGCTAATACTAGTGCCAGTGAGTATTTCTTGTCTCAAAATTTTAATCTGTCTTTATATTACATTTTCATATTGTGAAACAGAAAATTTTGAATTTTTGAAAAGTTTTTCTACTGAATTTCTGTAGTCAAATGTTTTCAATACTTGTGTCTGTTGCTAATTCCTGTATAAAAATTGTTATCTGTCATTTTTTGTGAGCAGAACTTTGTTGCAACATTTTAAAATAAGTAATTTATGTTTTCTTCAGCTTTTATTTGTCAGTGGGGTACTTTGAAGACATTGAAGAAACAGCATTTTGAATTAAAAAAAAAAAACTGAGTGACAACATTTGAGTTTGAGCAGCTTTGTCATGATACCAAGGACATTATGATTGTTTTAAGTTTTATGTCATTTCTTAATTTTATTCTAATAAATATCCCAAAGATTTGTTTTCTTTTTGTGTGTTTTTTTCAAGGATTTATCCTGATAACTTTTAAAAATTGATTCACCTAAATGATACAACTGAGGATGAAGAAATTTTTTGGAAATACTTTCTTTTAAAACTCAGGTTACATAGTACCAAAAATGAATTTTCCATTATTTTCTTTTCTTTTCCAGAAGTGTTTCAGAAGTAGTCTTTTATGATCAGTTTTCAGAATATCAAAGAGTGAATTTTTTTCCATGAATGCAATTTCTGACAGGATAATCATTCATGCTTCTCAGAGCAGGATTAGGCTAATTAATCCTACATTCCTTAACCCTTTGTCCCCTCCAGTACTGGATTTTTGTTGTATCAACATACAACATAGTTGTACCACATATTCCTGGAGGTTATATTAATCAGGGCACTCAAGCATTAATTTCACATCAGATTCTATTGGTTTCTCAGGGATTTGCTAATGGAACAAAGGTATTCCTTGCTTTCTTATACCTGCAAATATGATGGAAAAAAATTGTAGGTGAATGTACTGTGTGTGTTTTTGGTACTTGAGTTCTTGTGTCCAAACATTGCCAGATACCTTTTTTGTGTAATTTTTTTTAACAATGCATACAAAGTTTGCCAATTAGTTGGTCATCTCATCCATTCCTGAGATTATTAACTTGTTTAATAATGCAGTACAACATAGTTGTTCTTTCCTTGGTGGATATCAAGTATGTGGTTAATGAAGGTAATTTAGATGAGAGGATATCATTTGTATACAAATTCATTAGATGAGGAATTATTCATAGTGGGAAGGAATAAGAAAGTTTGGTTTATTCCAAGAAATGAGTTAAAAAGAATAAATCCTTCAAATTTTCACAGATTTGGCCATTAAAAAAGTATATAATGTACAGTATTTAAATATCTACAATAATTGACATCCCTGATTATCAATTTTTAAAGTTCAGGGGATTTTCTCAGCATATTTTGCTTCAGAACAATTTGATTTTATTTGACATCACACTTTCAAATGTTGCCACTATTTTTTTGGAACATCAAATAATTTTACTAAATTCCTTGTAAATTTGAATAAAAAAAATGTATGATTTAAAATTTACCTTCAAGAACTATTTTTGTGTATTGATTTATTCATCAGGTGTCTTGTTTGGCTGCGTCGCGCTGTTTTGGATGTAGATGTCGCACCTTGAGGGTAGATTAAAATTTTGAACTTGATCAAGTACCAGTGGCACTTTTTTCATGCAACGTTTGGGGGTTTTGAGAAGTGTTTGAAATTGATTTCGAGGCATCTTCTGGGAATTGTTTTTTTTTTTGGGAGGAACAATAGGAATAATTCGCCACATGTTCCTCCTGATCAGCAAGTCAAAATTTATGATCGATTTCCGAAGGATATTTCCTGATGCTTCCGAATGTACATCTCGGCGGATATATTTTTTCTCTGTCGCGTGTGTTCCGGATTTCCGGTTTTATTTATTTTTGTCATGGTTTTTTTTTTTTTTTTTTGCAAAGGTCAAGCCGAGAAGCGAGAAACAAGGCAGAAAAACACAGACGGGACAAGATCAACAATTTCATCAGTGTGCTGAGTGAGATTGTGCCCACCATCACAATGGCCAACAAGAGGATGGACAAGACGTCCATCTTGAGATTGGCGGCCAACTACCTTCGCATCATTCAATCAGGTATGAAAAATTTTTTTGTTCAAAAATTAATTTTGTTTTCATTTTTTTTGATAATATATTTTGTGTCTGTCTTGTGTAAATGTTGGTATGGAGATGGATGTGCATTTTTTTTCTTCAGAGGAATAATGATCAATCAGTCAGGGATGAAATTCATAAATGCCCTTTAAAAACATTTTTTTTTCCTTTAAAAGCATTTAAGTTTTGGTTCTGAATTTTTTTTTCTGTTGCATGTAAGTCTTGGAGTGGAGATGTAAATACTCTTTTTTAGCTTGAATTAATAATCATCATTCAATCAGGTGTAAAATTCCCTTCAAAAATATGTTTGAACAATTTTTTAAAAATGAGTTTTGGTTGAAGAGAATCTGTTTGTCTTGTGATAAAGTTGGGATAAAGATGGATTGTTATCCTTATTGGGAGAAATCAATAAAAGACTCTGTCGCGACTCTAGAAGAACGTCTTCTTCTTGATACGATAAATCTTAGACAACTTTTATTCCCAAGGATAAGCTTTCAACGAGAAGATTATTNCTTCGCATCATTCAATCAGGTATGAAAAATTTTTTTGTTCAAAAATTAATTTTGTTTTCATTTTTTTTGATAATATATTTTGTGTCTGTCTTGTGTAAATGTTGGTATGGAGATGGATGTGCATTTTTTTTCTTCAGAGGAATAATCATCAATCAGTTAGAGATGAAATTTATAAATGTCCTTAAAAAAATTTTTTTTCATTTAAAAGCATTTAAGTTTTGGTTCTGAAATTTTTTTCTGTTGTATGTAAGTCTTGGAGTGGAGATGTAAATACTTTTTTTTAGCTTGAATTAATAATCATCATTCAATCAGGTGTAAAATTCCCTTCAAAAATATGTTTGAACAATATTTTAAAAATGAGTTTTGCTTGAAGAGAATCTGTTTGTCTTGTGATAAAGTTGGGATGAAGATGGATATAAATTTTTTTTTCTACAGAGGAATAATCATAATTCAGCCATGGATGAAATTCAGAAATGCCTTTTGAAATATTTTTTTTCCTCTTAAAAGCATTCAAGTTTTGATTCTGAAGTTTTTTTTCTGCCTTATTTTGTAAGTCTTTGAGTGGAGATATAAATAATTTTTTTTAGATTACAGTAATAAACATCTATACATGAGGTTTGAAATTTATTTTCAAAATATATTTGTAAAGATTTTTGAAATGAGTTTTGGTTGGAGAGATTTCTTCTGTCTTGGGATAATGTTGGGATGGATATGGAAATGATTCTTCAACAGAGTAAAATCATCATTCAATCAGGGATGAAATTCCTTGTAAAACGATTTCTATTTTTAAAAGCATTAAAGATTTGGTTCTGAAGTAATGTCTTTTGTGAGCCTAGGAATAATGGAGATGGGTATAATTTTTTCTCCACATATTACAAAAATAATCATCATTCAATCAGTTGTGGAATTATCTTCAAATTTTTTTTTAATTTTTGAAGAAGGGATTTGGTTGGACATTTTTTCTGTCTTTTGAAAATGTTTGAATGAAGATGGCCATAATTTTTTACAGATTAAGAATCATAAAAGGATGGAATTGCATTCAAAGCAACATTTTGTTCTGCAGGAAACATTGACATTTTTGCTATGAAGTTTTGTCTGTCTTGTGAAATTCTTGTAATGAAGGTGGTTATAACTTTTTTTTGACAGAGTAATAATGATCATTCAGTAGGATGAAATTTCCTTCAAACCAATTTTTTCCTTATAAATATATAAAAAATTGAAATTTTGGATTTGAGGTTTTGTCTGTCATTTGTAAGTCTTGGGATTAAGGTGAATGGAATTTATTCTTACAAAATAATAATCATTCAATCAAGCATGAAATTCCCTTCAAATCAATAGTTTTCTTCTCAAGAAAAATTGAAGTCTTTATTCTGAAGTTTTGTTTGTCTTCTGCCTCCTTGGAATGAAGGTGAATATAATTTTTTTTATGCATCAAGAAAGTGTTTTAGTCAAGGGTGCCCTTTAATGAAATATTTTTCACAAATTGACAAAGGTTTGCCATTCAATTTTTTTTTCTCTCCACAGTGACATACTCAGAAACTTCTCTCCTCAGAAACTTACTTATCCCAAGAACCTTATTTCAAAGTACTGTACTGACCATTTTTAAATGGTGAGTCATCTACTGGAAGAGAACTGTCACAATTCTTGAAAATTGTCTTCATTGAGTATCCAAATGAGTCAGTGTTGCTGTGTGATTCTGATTTTGTCATTTAATAGTGAGGAAAAAATTGTAAGTCATGATTTCCAGGTACTGTTTTTGTTTGCTTCAGTCCTAATCTCTTTGGATATTTTTTTTATTTTTTTTCAAAATGTAGCACATGATCCCTGCTTTTTTAAAATGTGGGTTTCCTGTTGTAAGAATAAAAAACAGCCTTGCTTTGTAGGTCAGTGTCAAAAAGAACTTTCTTCCAACACATGTTTCCATCCACTGTTTTTTTTTTACTGGGACTTTCAAATCCACTGTTTTTGATGCAATGCTGACACCTGAGCTTTTTAGTTTTGTATATTAAAGATAAAAAGAAGGAAGGAGTATGTGATGGAAGGCCAACTGGCTGAGTTCCAGACTTGATTGTGTGGGTGGAGGGATTCAGAGGAAAGCTTGTTTCTTCCTGGTTCACAGGAATTTTTCCATTGAGACTTTTTTGTTTTTGTTTTGGGGAAATCTGTCTGGAAGACTGGAAAGAGTGTAAGATAAACCTGTTCAGTTGGTGTGGAAAGATCATCTTCTGGATGAAAATGTTTCTGAATCACCACTTTCCCAAATTTTTAGCTCATGTTTAAAGGCCAATACATTTTCTGTGAAAACAAAAATATTCATTATAGAAATAATTTCATTGCAAAGAAACATTATAACAAGGAGAAGGATGTGTATGGGGACCAGAAACAAATTTTTTATATATAGAAAACATTGTTGTAGACAAGAACAATACAGAGAGTCCACCTGTAGAACCAAGTGTGCCTGAAAACATAACATGAACATCCTTTCATAAATTGTTTTGTGAAGCTGAAGAAGACCTGGCATATTGCAGCCTGAATTTGATATAATGAATCCCTCCTTTTTCAATGTTTCAGTTTTCCAAGCAGAACAGCTTCAGTTGATTATTTAGAATTTCTTCTTGGCCAGTGTTTTGAGTTTGTGTCCCATGCAGAAGGTCAGGGGTTCGAATCCTCATGGCTTCCAATTTTTTTTTTCAATTTGTTGATGAAGATGAGCTGTGGAATTTTGGTAATCTATGAAATTCAACTTTTCATCATCCTTTGGATTTTAGGATAACCCTTGGAATGACTTGGGACTTTTTTGAAATTCAGCTGAAGATTTTCTGAGCAAGACTCCATAATTTCTTCAAAAAAAGTTTCATAGGTGCCTCTGGAGAAGTGATAATCAAAGAAAACAATTTCCAGGTTCTGTATATTTTTTTATTTATGTAATCTTCTGAAGATTTCAGATCATGAGTATGTTGAGGATATTCTTTGTTATGATGTACAGTATTTTTCATCCCAACCAGGAGGTCATGAGTTCGATTCTCGGTAAAGTTCATTTTTTTTCTATTACTGAATTGGAAGGCTGAAATTTGATTACTTTGCTGTTCTTATTTTTTTGTGTGCAGGACTGACCAAGTACAAAAAAAGTGGACCTCGGATACGTTGGGATATTTGCCTGAAGCATTGCATGGAGGTAAGAATTGTTCCCCTGCCATCTTCTGGTCCAGACAACAACAGCTTAAGGGAAATGGTCGCAGATTTTTTACAACTGCTCTTAACACAGACTCCCTGTGTCCTGGGGTTCTCTTGATGGGGGGGTTCTCTTGGGTGGACCTCGTTTCCCTCACACAAATCATCATCATAAACTTTTTCCCCCTCCCCTTCTTCCTTTTGCTCTCATCTGACCCCTTTCATCCACCCCTGGGTTTTTTTTTTTTACTGTTGTGAAAGTGATTTATATATATATTTTTTAGCATTTTTTTCCAGGAAACTGTGCAAGTTAAGGTTGATTGTGTATATTTTTTGTGGAGGAAATGAGGAGGTTGTTTGGGAGTGTCTGAGCTTGATGGGAGATCATTTGTACAGCCCTTGATTTTTTTTTTCTGTCAGCCTCAAGATGTCCAGTTTGCTTTTGAGAGAGATATTAAGAGACTTTTGTTGTTGTCTGGGGGTTTTTTTTTTCTCCTTGGAAATGAATTATTTTTTCTGTATCACAAGAGTCTGTGGTATGTGATAATTTGCAGATTATGGTAGAAACAATATTTTGTTTTGTGGAAACAGTTGATCATTGCTCTTGTCCATCATTCTGTTCCTATTGGTGTAATAACTGAAATAGTTGATTATTCATGGGTCATTTTATGTCAGATAAAATGTATTATCCAGACCTCCCTGGATGTGAAGTACAAATAATTGCAAATTAATTGTTAAAAATGATTTGAGAAAATTATTCAGTTGTATAAGGGATAAGAAATCAAAGTTTACCAAGAGAGGATCCATAGCAATAAATTGTAAGTAGAGTAGTTTTCTTAGCTTGTTTTGGACAGAAAATTAGATGTCCTGGCTTTTTGAGAAAAGTGGCCCATTCCTTTGTCTCATTTGAATAATAGTCATGCAGAGAATATTTTCTTCAGTGAAGGATACTTTTTTGTCAATTTCTGCATTACATAAATTGACTGAAAATTACATTACTTCATTGGGACATTCAAGTGAGCAATATTTCAAACATTCAGCATTTTTCAAAATGTTTTTATTATCATTTTTAGAATAAAGCTGAATGGTTTAAAATATTTGGATTTGAAGTGCACCACCTTTCTGGTTCTCAAGAATAATGTTTTCAATTTTAAAACAAATTCAAATCCCACAAAAGGAATTAATTGATAACCTTAATGAAAAGGTGTTAATATTTCATGTTTTTTAAGTTTTTTTTTGTCTCTTTGATGGAATTATTATTTTCTTGTCTAATTTTTTATTTACTGTAATAATTTTTTATTGGAGCTGAGTCATTTTCTTTTGATGACATGATATAGGATGAAACTAATTCTTCAGAAATGGGAGGGAGTGTGAAAAATTATTACCAGAACTCAGTACTGTGCTGCAGCAGCAGCTGCTGCTGCTTCTAAGTAAGTGCTTGTGATAAAAGAAACAACCCCATATCTTATTTTATCCCCTCTGTCTCTCTGTCTCTCAATACTATTGAGAGTCTTAAAAATGATTGTGTGTCTCTCCCATCTTTTTCTCTCCCCTCAGGACGTGTTCTTGTTGGTGGTTCTGGGCTCAGGAAAGATCATGGTTGTGACTGAGAACGTGGAACAGCTCATAGGACACTCACCAGTGAGTATTTTAGAGAAGAAAAAAAATAAGGCAAAAAGGGGTTAAAATGGGTACCAGGTGGAGGGTATTTTTTTTTATATTGGATGTCTGTGGAAAAACCATGAGGCTAAAATAATCCTCTCTCATACATTAAGTTTTTTTTTTTTAATGGGGTGGTGGGGTGGAAAAAGATTTTTGTCTTGCATTTTCCACCCTCTTTTTTTTTGCTTGTGTGTCAAGATGTTTCTTTTTCTTGAATTCCTGTGTCTTTATTTTTTTTGTGAATGCTTGAACCTTGAACTGGGAGTACTGGATTAACCTCAGTTTATTTCACCTTTTTTTTCTTCTTACTGTTGAAGGTGTGAGTTAGTGTCAGATTGGTGACTGTTGTTTTTTTTTTTTTTTTCCCTGTGAAGACAATGGACACAGGTGGTGTATGTGGGAGATGTGTATTTTATTTCTCACTTTCTTTGTGTGCTTGTGAATTGAAGATATATTTATTTTCTGTTGGAGCACCTGAGGATAAATGTCAATGGTATTTTTATCACAGTCAAGAATCCTCATGAATCTTGTGGTGTTTTATGACCATAGTGTTAAGATGACAGCAAGTGATTGGTTGCTTTGAACACAGTGAGGACCTCTAACTTTTTTTTTATTTCTTTGGTTATTTGGAGGAGTTGTTGCAGTTGAATTTGTTTTTATGTGTCATGAAATACTTGTGAAGTGGATTTTATTTTCAAGGAAGAGTTTATTTCACATGTCATTTCATTTTTTACTTATTTTGTGAAGCTCAAATGGCATCTCAATTCAATTAGTTTTTAATATGTATAATATCTTTTGTTTGATTATGGTTGCTTTTTTAAAGTAAAAAGTACTTCATGAAAGGGTTTCCAAAACTTTAAATAATAATTTGAAAACTGGTATGTAATGTCCAAAAAACTGGTATTTAATGTCCCAAAAACTGGTATTTAATGTCCCAAAAACTGAGTATTCAAATGTGGAATTTGGACTCAAAATTTCAAGTGTTTTTTGATGATATGTATGACTTCATTTTTATGTCCAAAATTATGGCCATTTAAAATACATAAAATTAGAAAAGTTGAAAAAGTGGTAATAACAAAGCAAGTGGGAGCTGAAGTTAATGTGATGTGGGGATTCAAAGTATCCTGTTTTTGTGTGACCTAGATTTTTGCAGTAATTTTCTTCATTTTTTGCAGAAGTTGAGGTTCACTTACAGTGAGTGTGCTATTTAGTGAACTTTCCAGATTTGAAGTGATTATATCCAGTCACTAAAGATTTTTTTAAATTTCACTTTGTTGCATTGAAATAAAATGAACTCTGGAAATTGATTGCAATTACTGTTTATAGATTTGAAATGATTATCCAGTCACTGAAGATGTTTGTAAGTTGTACTTTTCTCATTTGAAATGAAATAAACTGCAAATTAATTGCAATTAGTGCCAGGAAACCCAGTTTTGGAATTGATTTAAAAAAAAAACACTTGGGAGTCCATGGACACAATCTTTTGTGTGTATGCATGAATGTGTGTGTGTCAATGTCTGGAGGAAGATTAAATTCCTAAACTTGGCAGGGCTTTTCCTGGGGTCCCATTTATCTCCATAAAAGCAGCCTGCTTTGGCATTTATTTTCCCCCCTTTTTATCCTGGTCCCATGCCTTCTTTTTTTTTTCTCTCTTGACCTAATATCAAGTGTTGTGAAAGGGATGAAGGTCTGTTAAATTTTGAATAGGAGTGCTTTCTGTCTGTCTGTCACTCCTTGGGAGTACTTTAACTTTTATCTTTTGGGGGAAGAAACAGAGGGGGGGGTTTATGGTATGCCACTCAATATATGTAAGGTTTTCACTTTCATTTCTGTTTGTTTCTTTTTTTTTACAGTATGACCTGATGGGGCAGCCCATAGACTTCCTAGTGCACCCAAAGGACCAGGAGAAGGTGCATTCTTACCTCAAACTGCCAGAAGATGGTGAGTTGGTTTTGTTTTGTTTTTGTACTTGTCTTCTTGGAAGTTTCAATTTAGCTTTGTCAGTTTTTGTAATTTAAGTTTCAGAAGTTCTCAGATTTCTGAGTCATATGGTTCTTGAAAATAAGTGTAAAAATGTTGCAAAATTCCTTTGGTTCATTTGCATGAATAGGAGAGGTTTTTTTTTCAATTGCAAATCTGATGTGATTAGGTTTTAATAGGCATTTTAGGATAAGTTTCACATTCAGCATTATTGTAATTAAGAAATTATGAAGACCCAGACAATCCATTTTTGGGGGGAAATGATTAAAGAAACTTTTAAAGTTTTCCAGATGGTGAATCTTTCAAAACTTTCAAAATTCATTAAAAATGTGAGTTATGCAGTTATGGCATGTGGATCTTTATCTTATCTCATTTCCATGGCATTTTTAAATGTAAATTTTATGTGAGAAAAATTATGAAATTGAGAATTTATCAAGAAAAGACCAGAGAAATATTTTGTGAGAATTATGTCCATCCAAGGAAAATTGAATAACAAAAGAATTTATATTACTTCATATTTATGAAACCTTTTTTAATCTTCTTTTGGGATTAATCTTCAAGAAATTTTTTTTGTTTTCCAAAAGATATGGAAAAAATATGGTTCATTGAACATGTGAGTTGTGGCTTGTGAACCTGTAGTTCCCCACATTTTCAAAGTCTTCTTTGTCCAGTCAATTTAAATTTTTTGTGTGGACATGGATCTATAATAGTATAAAGGACCTGTTTATATTCTGTGAAAGTTATGTCCATCATCAGGAAAGGCATTAGACTGGAATAAATTCCTTTTTTGTATAATGGATGGTATATTCATAAATTTCTTTCATTTTCCTCATGATGTGAAACAAATACAGTATTTGGCTTTTTGAGAATAAATTAAGAAATACTCAAAAGGATCAGGGAATATTCTGTGAAAAAGTATGTTCATCCAAGGAAACTTGAGGAAGAAAATGCAGAAGACTTGATGCAGTCATGAACCCTTTTTAAATTTTTTTTGCAGGAATCTTTATGAAATTTTTGAATTTTTCAAACTTTTATGAAACCAATTTTTTTTTTGCTGAGAATAAATGAATAAATTGAGCATTATTTTGTTAAGGGTCTGAGAATATTCTATGTAAATTATGTCCATCGTTCTTCTGAACTTCTTCTCTGTTTTATGAACTACTTTCACTACTTGGGGGAAAAATTAAAACATAAAAGATTAAAAAAAAAACTTAAGAATCCTTCATGTCTCGGCCACATGTTCAACAAGGTCACTCGGATGTCAGAACGGAGTTTGTCTCGAACAGAACCCGGAAGATATGTCCCAATGCTGGTCAAGGGCTACTTTAGAAAGGTGTCATCCAACTTCAGTAGACGGGTCCGACCTCGGTTTTCACATCCCTCAGGTCAGTGGGGGGTTGTTTTTTGTTGTTGTTGCTGTTGTGGATTTTATTTATATTTTTTCTGTACTTTGGAAAAAAATATAATACAGTAATAGAGAAAATGACTGGAATTTTTTTTATGGAGACTTCAAAGGCTCAAGTTTTCTTTTTTCTTCTTTATATTTTATTGAGGACAGAGTCTCCAATATAATTTGGTGTCAAGTGTTGGATAAATAAAACAAGTTGATCAGTCCGGGACAGGACCGGGATTCCTATTAGGAATTCCTAGTTTAAGTGGTTAAGGTATATTTCAGGAATAAACGGATAACAACGCAAACAACTCAACGAGCTTGGGCTTGGATAACGCACAGCTGAACACAACTGGACAGGACCGGGATTCCTATTAGGAATTCCTAGTTTAAGTGGTTAAGGTATATTTCAGGAATAAACGGATAACAACGCAAACAACTCAACGAGCTTGGGCTTGGATAACGCACAGCTGAACACAACTGATCTAATGAGAGAATATGAGAATGTGACTTATATAGTCTTTGCATTTAGAAACCTTCATAAGGTTTTACCACTTTAATGGCAACAGGAAAAAGTAGTCATCAAAGATGCTACACATAGAAAAAGATGGTCATCGAGGATGCTACGGTGCCAAGCACGTCCTGACACCATAACCAGTACCAGGTTGTACCTGGCACTGCGTTTTTGAGGAGGGGAGGATAATTCTGAGAACTGTAGGTATTATAGTGTATGTTAGCGTGCATGCCCAATATATTTGCAGCTCAAATTCCATTGTTGACTTGTCTTATGTGTCACATTTGCAGAACTTGTCCCAAGTGGACAATGTTTTTGTTTGTGAACATAAAAAAATTCTGCACTCAATATTGTGACATTGTTTCAGTTTCAACTTTTTGAAAATGCTGCATTCAGACAAAGTATTGTGAAATGTAAATAATGTTAGCATTATGTAAATCATCACATTGATTATCTTGGAATTCTGCTCCAGCATTTTTTTCCCCCCAAGGAAAAATAGCACTTTGTAAATATATTTTTTTCTTAGCATTTGTTGCCTCCAAAAAAAATATTCTCTTCGAAATTTCCCTTTACTAAATATTTTTTGTTTTTGTTTGAAAGGTGGAGACGAGGAAGCATCAGGCAAGACCCCTTTGTCGACACCATCAGCGCCATCTTCCTCGTCATCCACGTCGACGTCGTCGTCAGTGTCGGTGTCGGTGTCGGCAAGTGACGACTGGGCCCTGGTGGCAGTTGTCAGCCCTGTCAAGAGTTTCTATGAGGACCATATCCCACTCATGTATGCCAGCCACGACCAGTACAGAACCCGGCATTCCATTGATGGAACCATGATTGAAATCGACCAAAGGTTTGAATAATAATGATAATAATAAAAATTAGAAAAAATAAAATGGAATATAATGATTTTTTTTAAACGAATTTTTTTCTCGTCCCTTGAATTTCATTGTTGAGAGATTCTACCTGCTTTAATGATTAAAAAAATATTAGTAAAGGGTAAACCTCGTTACAACGAATTTTTTGATAATGATATTCTTTGTCTAATTTTTTTTGAGTCCTTGTTTTTCTGGATTCTGAATAATATATATTTTAATTTTGGATTCCCATGGGCACCAATTTTTTCAAGGTTCCATTTGTTTTTCTGTAACAAGATTCTACTGTTTTCAATTTTCTTTTTATGTTTGTAAGCAAGCAAAAATTCATACTCATGGTCCCTTTCTAAGCTTCAATGCCTCTTTAAAAAAAGGTGAAAATGGTTCAAAGAATTCATGCCCAGTCTGAGACAATTTCAATGACTCACAGTTCAAAGAAAACATGTTCTCATAGATTCTGTTGTAAGAGAAGAAACTTTTATTCATTCAAAATTTTTCTCTGGAAAATGGAAATTTATTCAGTTTCTAATAAATTAAAACTGTTATCATTTGAAAAATGTATTCATAAAGTGAGAAATTTAATTTAACAGAACAAGAAGCTGGAGAGAAATAATGAAAATTAATTCAAGGATATGTAAAACAGTTTAAACAGGAAATGTTTAAAAAAAACATGAAATATCTACAATTCAGTGAATTTTAAATTGAATTCCTTTTCATCTCAGTAAATATATTAAGTCATTCATAGTTGAAAAGACAAATTTTCATGACTTGACCAGAATTCTCAAAACTTTCCTGTCCAAAAAATTTATAATTTCTCACTATATCTGGAAATTCAAAATAAAAGAAAAATGGAAAAATCTGCATATGAAAAATACAATTTTCCCAGAAAAAATGTTCCCAAAAATCAGATGTGAAAATATAATCATGATTTTACCACCAGTTCAGGTAGAAATTTAAAACATCTAAAGGTGAATGAAAATTCTTGGCAACATTGCCCATGACAAGAGAATGTTCTAAAAAGCTTTTCTGCTGTGGAAAGTAAAAAAATAAAAAAAGGTCATGGTCTACCACATCTGGAAATTGAGTTGTAAACAATGCCTGGTGATCTTCACCAGATACAGTATATGCCTCTGTTCCCTGATCCCAGGAACTCAAATGCTTTATAATTTTCTCATTCAGAATAAAATGAAAAGAATGGTCAATGAGAAAATTAATTTTTACTTTTTTTGTCACAAGAAAAACTGTTTTTCAGCTGGGAAAATACTCTTGGATATGATTTATCTTTTTTATTTCCAGGGTGAATGAATCATTGTTCTCTCTTCATTTTTTTTTCTACACCAAAAAAAGAATCTGTGGAGAATTGTTTCAATCTGTGCATGAATTTTAGCTTCATTTTCACTTTTTTTCTCTGCTGTTTATTCATTAAATTGTTTTAAATGTTGATAGATTGGTAGGGATTTTAATTAATCATTCCAACTTAGTAGGTCTCCACTCTCCAGAAATTAAATAGGAGGAATGGTTGGGAAAATTTTGAAATAAAAGAGAAGAAAGCCTCAGGGGGGGGGGGGAAGGTTGTGGAGAGGAAAAGGGCCACTATAGGAAAACTTTGGGGCAAAGAGTGTTTCCATGGCAACATGTCACTCCCAGGCAAGAGCTTCCTTCTCACTCCCCCTCTAGGGTTTTCCTCTTGGGGTTCTGTAATTTATGCGCCCAGGATGCAAAGTACTGCCAGTACTGGGATGGTGGTGGCATGAATGGGGAGAGTGGGGGGGGGGGAAAGAGAGGAAATGTACCCAGTACTTGCTTCAGGGTGCCTGTTTTCCCCTGATTTCCCAGGGCATTGTCTTCTTCTTCTTCTTCTCCTCTCCCCCACCCTTGGGATCTTCTCTGGGGTTCCCATCTCTTGGTCCTCTCTCTCTCTCTCTCTCTCTCTGCTGGGTTCCCATGCATTTTCACACTGGCACAGAAATAAAATCAGTGAATTAGTTTTTTTTTATTGTTTAGTCTGGAAAGGAGTGTATCTCATGTCATTTTGAACAAGAAATGGTTATTTTATGTTTTTCAATCTCATGAGGAACATTTTGTTTTTGAAGTTTGCCAAATTTAAGAGCTTTTTAGAATTTTTTGTGTTGAAAATACCTCTAAAGATGATTCCTTCTGTTTCCAATCAGAAGAACCAATGTTTTTCAAAGCATAAAAAATATATGATATTATCAAAGACTTATTATGAGTAAACTTTATTTATTTTTTTGTGTATACAGAGTGAAGAAAATTGTGAGATTCTAATTTTTTCCAAAAGAAATGTATCATCCAAAATTTGAAGGGGAAGTAAAAATTAATGTCTCCTGTGTTTTCAAAGTATCCAAATTTTCTTGAATTTTTGGAATAAAACATAGATTGTGAAAAGTATCAATTTCTTCAATGTAGACCGACTACCGGTAACCTCTTTTTTTTTTGTAGAGTCTGAATAAAGGTCTCTAAAAAAACCCTAAGTGAACTTTAAGGAGTCACAACAAGATTAAAGACCTGAAATCTACGGATACATTCAAGTTGGAAATACTGTAAGAGCACAATAAGAAAGTTTCTGGGGCACTCAAAATGTAGCATGTTGTTTTTCTAGGAACAATTGAAGCATATAAGCCAGTACTTGATTGTGTGCTCACTTGGCAACTCTGAGAGGAGAAAGGGAGAGAGAGAGACAGACAGACAGAGATTCAGACAGACACAATTTGCGGATTAACTTTCATGTGAACGACTTCACACATAAGGTTCACGTCTGAACCCCCACCTTAACGTGTTCAAAACGTATTAACGTAGAGAACGTACGTGTGTACCGACACGTTGGGGAAAAGGGAAGTCGCTTCTTCTTCTTCTTTTTTTGCTGTTGTTTTCTGAAAATATTATGTCTCTTGTTCTGCATAATCATCCCTGGCTCCTGCATTTATTCATTTTTTTGCACATCTCATTTTAAAGAAAATTTCAATATGTGTTTTGCTTTTGGGCTGATTTTTGTGTGTGGCAGGTTCCTGTTTTTATTTATTAATATTTGCAACTCAATTTAAAAGAAGATTGAATTGCCATATTTATTTTATTTTTTCAGATTCTCATCTTTTTTTGCAATCAAATTTTTATTCATTTTTTAAAACCCCATTTTTGAAAAAATCTCAATGGCATAAATTCTGCTTTTGAATAGTTGATTTATCAAGATGACATGTTTGTCAATTATTTTTTGGAAATATCAATTAAAGACAATTTTAGTCACATGAGCTGTTTTGGGACTGATTTGTTGTTTTATTTGTTGGAGGCTCATGTATTTATCAATTTTTGAAACCCCATTTAAGAAAATTAATTTAAATATTCTTGTTAGTGGGCTCATGTTTTAAAAAACAAGATAAAACGTCCGAGGACATAAAAAAAGGTGGATTAAAAGGTTCTACCAAAGTTACGATACTATATACAAGAACCTGACTAAATTTTAAAAACGTTCAGTAGTATAACGATTAAATATATTGGCCATTTCATTTTCAAGCAAATGTGCTTCTCTGCTGATTTGTAATTGTTTTGTTTTTGTGTTTTTTTTTCAGGATATCCACTGTAGCAGGATACTCAGTCCAAGAAGTCCTCAACATGAATGCCTTCAACTACATTTATGAAGAAGATGCTACCTACACTCAATTGCTGTTCAAGAGAAGTAAGTGTGACATCATCATGGATTTATGGCCCTTCCACATCCTCTTTTTTTTTTGGCCTCCTTTTTTTTGTGTAGTGGAAGCATCATTTGCATATTGGTTCCATGCCAGAGCAAAAAGGGGAAGGGGGGGACCTATAATTTATTACTGTGGCCTTGATGCCCTCTTGCTGGCTGGGCCCTGTTATTACTGTGCTTTAGTGTGTGCCCACACTATTTAAATGGCTGTGGAAGTCTGGGCTGTGTTGATTTTTTTTTTCCATGTCTTATCTTCCAGCTGTGATGTATATTTTTTTTCTTCTTATGTATCTTTGGACTGATGAGCAATTCATGTGAATCTTTGGATTGATTTTCTTTTTGGGAAGATTTTTACCAAGCAGGGATTTATTTTGTGAAATTATTTCAATGCCTGGGTTTGAAGTGATGCAAGATTTTATTTTGTATCATATTTTTGTTCAGCTTGTGTAAGGTTATATTTTGTAGCATATTTTTTGTTCAATCTATTTTTTGTGGTTTGCAAATGGAACAGTTTCATGAGTGTGATACAGTATTTTGAACCCATGTATGAAATTGTTTCTTGTTGGAGAAATTTTTTTTTCATGTCCAGCAAAATTCTTCCAAGTCTTATTTTAAGGTATTTTTAATCAAATTCTGCAGGAGAAATTCAATTTTGATGATTTTCTTTGTGATTTGTTGTTGAAATGAAATCTTGAGGGGCAGAAAGGTTTCAAGAGTTATGTCCAAAATTTTTGCAGTATTCTTGAGTTCTCAGCAAAGCTCAAATAAACATTTTTGTGTGGGCTTCTGGTGAAAATTTATATTTATCCAACTGTTGTACTACCATGAATGATTAGTCATCAGGTGTTGTATTTAATTTTTTTTAATGGAGATATGGAAGATTGAATATCTTTTTAATAAACATAAAATCTGCATTTTCAGAGTTTCTAGAAACTTCTTATTCTTTGCTCAAATTCTGAACATGAAGAGAAATTCAATTTTTTTTTACAAATTGAATATTCAAGGAATGGTGGAATATGATTTGAAAATGGCAGCTTACTTGTGGTGAAAAGAGATATACTAGAAAATGTTTTGTCTTGGATATATGCATCCCAGGGATAAGAGCAAAGATTTGGATTCGATACAAGAAATTTCTCAGTACAAGGAAATATTCACCTGATTACCTTGAATTTGAACACCTCATCAGAAAATTTCAATTGTCATTTTTTTGGTCTGTATGGTTTGCATTGATGAGTATTTCTGAATTTCCCCTTTTGATTAAAATAAATTGAGGACTTTGTTTTTCATCTTCATTTTTGTTTTTTTTTTGTTAGTGTTGCAAAATCCTGAGGGAGCAGGAATGGTGACCTACAGACTCAACACCAAGTCTGGAGAAGCTGTTTATTTGAGAAGCAGTGGAAGGTTGGAGTTCAACAGGACCACCCAAAAGGTGGAGACCTATTCTGCCATCCACACCCTGCTTCAGTGAGTATTTTGTTGCTGTTGATCCAAAAATTGGCACAGTCAGGAAAGTAGTTTTTTTTTTGGGCCAAACTTTTGCCAATTATTGGAAAATTTTTAGGCATATTTCTGTTTTTGATTGTTTAAATCTCTGGACATGAGTTGAAATGGATTAATTTTGTGGATCAGAGTCCTGTAATTTTTTGAAGGTCTGAACAAATCTCTGATCATTTGCCAAGTATTTTCTTTCTATTACAGCCAAATTTATTTATTGAATTTTTATATCAGCATTTATATTTTGAAATGAAATTTAGATTCTCAAATTTGTTGTGGTGGGGGTTTTCACATGATGGTGTTTTGGAATTGCAGGGACAAGGAAGGAGCAGAGGAGGCAGAGAAGCAGAAGCAGGAAGTGGCCCACCTCATCCCACCACCAGCACCACCACCACAATCAGCAACAGCACTGGTGGTGCAAACCAGGACCACCACAACCACAACCACCACCACAATCATCAAAGAGCCCCAGGAAGTGATCCTCAATGCATTTGTAGCAGACTTTCCCCAGGCATCTTCCCCCTCTACCTCCAGCTCCACCACCAGAGGTCACCACCTGAGTGGAGACAGTGTCCCATCCTCTGGGGCCTCAGATGGAGAAGACTTCTTTGACCTGGGGTGTTGTGAGGCCAAGAAGGCCAGGTATTCCTTTGATGGGGATGCCTACAGGGCCATGTTGATGAGTCCTCCTTCAGCTGGGGGTGGGGATGCCTTTGCAGCCATCTTTGACTCATTCCCTGAGCCTGGGGAAGAGGTGGAGCACAAGACTGATCTCTGCTTCTCACCCTTTGGATTATGAGGGGACTCCATCTTTCTTTTTTTTTTGGAGGCACAACACTCACTGTGTGTGTGTGTTTTTGTCTGTTGAAGCCATTTTGTAAACTACTCTTTTTTCCCAATGAAAAGAAGATGGATACAAAAAAATGGGGAAATTGTTGGAACCAGTGGACTTCCAAGAAACAAACAAAAAAGTAATCCAACCCCCCTTTTATTTAAAAAACAAAAACAAGGGAAATTTGGCAACAAATGAACAAATTCAGCTTCCAGCCACTTTGTTTTAATGTTGGTTTCCATGTTTTACATCAAGTTTTTCACAGGAGAGGGAAATTTGTGGATTATTGTTGCTCAAGTTGAGGGAAAACTGAAAACTGATGACTGGACAATAAGGCCCGCCCCCTTTTTTCCTTTGAGATTGTTGTTGCAGAGATGTTTTTTTTTCTTTGTTGTTGTATATTTTCGATTTGGATAATATGATCAATTTACTGATAGGTCCTGGGATGCAAGACTCCCAACAGCAACAAATGTTTGCAGTCTGGGGGTATTTGTACAAGGGTTCCTCTTTTTCCTCTTGTTATTCCTTGGAAATGATCTCACTAATTGATTGATCTCCCACCAGTTCTCCTGTTGTGTGCCTATATTGGGTTTTTATTTTATTTAAAAAAAAAGCAAGAAAGATGGCTTCTTGTCAGAACCAGAATCAAAGTTGCAGGGTCTTTTTACTCACACAGGCAGAAGGGTTTCTTAGGGTCTCTCTCTCTTTTTTAGTGTTTCTTTGAGAAAGAAACAACAGCCCTTTCTTTTTTTTTCTTTTGATGAAAATGCCAAGGGATGTGGTTCTTAACAACATACCTCCCACATGCGGGCCTTCGTTTGATTTTGTTTGTATGAGAAAATCATGTGCTTTTTGTTTCCCTGGATTGATCAAATCCCGGTTTCCAGGGACTTGGAGCGACACCTATGACTGAGTGGCTGGCGCGGGTGATCAGTCTAGATGAGATTTATTCAGTGTAGATGTCGCTTGGTGCACAAGAATTTCAATTCACCTCATCACTTTTGAGTGCTCAAAAAAAAGACGTTTTTAGCTGGTGGACTGTAAAGAATTTAAAAAAAGAACCCACGGCTGTGAGAGGCGACATCTAGGCGCAAGAAAACAACCCCGGTGTATATGAGGACAATTGGTTTTTTTCAAAGTGAACAAAAAAGAAATTCAGCAATTCTTCTTTTTTTTTCCTGGCTTGTTTCACTTGAAGAGATTCTGCCTCAGAAAAATTCTCTGGGTTTTTTTTGTGTGTTTAGCAAGAAAAAAGAGACAAGTTTCCACGGGTAAGTGAGTGACTTCAGGGTTCGTGTTTGACGTTTAATTTTTTTATTTCTGTTGCCAATCGAACAAACTGCCTCTTGGTGGGTGGAAGGGAACATTTTATTTCGTTCGTATGCCAAAATCGGGTCGAAAAAATCTTCCTCGTTTTAAGGAAAAACAACCTCTGCATTTTTTTTGTTCGTTTGTTTGTGTTTTGAAAGAATGTGCGTTTGAGAAGATGGGTTTTTTTTGTGACGTTAATCATAATCAAAAGCAGGATTTTTTTTTTTTGTGCGAGTGTTTGACACTAAAGAGAAAGAGAGGAGGAGGGAAAAAACAAGAGGGGAATTGTTAGTTGTTTTCCTTCTTAAAGGGGTTTTTTGTATTTGGAAAAGAAAACAAATGCAGAAAAAAACGAGAGTTGGAAAACGGAAATTCTGTTTTGCACTTTTTTCTTATTCTTTATAGGTAACTAATTTTTTTTTGTGTGTCCAGAAAATGGGGGATTTCCTGGACACTTGAGAACAGATTACCAAGACAAACAGTGTTATATGGGGAAGCAACGATTTGCTGTAAATCAAGAGCCCTCTGATTCCGCTTTGACAGGGGAATTATTGTCCCCCCTGTGCTTGCTGGTGTAGCAGGACCTTGTGTGATTCCTTGGGCAAAATAACTCTCTCTCAAGCAAGTATTGGCTTTCCTTTTTTTGTTGGTGAATGGATGGGTCATCAAAATTCAGCATATCTCCTCTCATTTTATTTTTAATGCAGTTGTTGATGAAATATTTTTGGCTTCATTTGTTTGAGAAAACATTTGTCAGTTTATCACAGTATACTTGGAATTTTCTCCTAAAATCTCTGCATTTACTGGAAATTCAAGGCATGTGAAATTTAAATATTTTTCTGTTGAAAAAATTTCTCATATCTGGATTCAGCAGATCTCTCATCTTTTTTTTCTGAATGCAATCATAAAAAATGTGTCATTATTATGATGAATTTTCATTTTCAATGTGATAATTATGAACAAGGTGTATTCAATGTATTGACCACCAGTGCTAACATATTCATGACCACTCTTCAGAAATTTAAAAACATTTCCAAAAATACCAAAGTCAGATATTTTAATTGGGCTGCTGCACAGAGACCATATTTTTCATTAATCATGGCTGCAAATTAGTTGACTGGGAAACATGTACATTTTGGAGGATAGAAAATGATCCAGAGAAAATAATGCTATTATATCCAGTGCTCCTTTTCTTTTATTAATTTTGAAAAATGTTTGATAACTTGACTGCATACAGAAATTAGATGCCCACCATGTTTGTTTGTTTTTGTGGCTACTTTGGATTTGTTTTTGGGTCATGCTGATTTTCAAAAATTTTGGCAAAAAATTTACATTTTTCCAAGTGACTTTCCTGTTGGTGACAGGTGATGTTGTGGAACTGTGAGTAGGTTTGGTCCCTGCTACACTGTTGGTCCCATCACTGTGCGCACCCAGGGGGTCCTGTTGCAAGGAAAATTAGGCAATCTGTTGTAACCCCATTTGTGTGGGTGATGGCTGCGGTTGCTAAAAACCCTGGCAAAAAGCATTAAATTCCTGCTATGCTGATGCACACCCAGTGTTGCCAAAAGTCCTCCCTTGAATTTAAATTTTAGTCATGGAATTTTCTTGAAAAGCTGAAGCTTTTCAAAAGAAAAATAACATTTATTCATTGCTTGGGATTTGAATGAATAAAGATACATCAGGAATGATTCCAAGGATCAGAAGATTAGCACAGAGTATTTAAAAGAATTAAATGCCAGTTGGCAAGTCTGAAAAGAGGGGGGAAAGAAGTCTTTGTGTGCACAGGGGTATGAGTTATTGCACCATTGGGGTGAAAACATGGCACCTTGTTGGGACATGCTGCATTGGTTCCCATGCAAGCATGTGGGGGTTTGTGGGGATAAGGGGTGAGGGCTATTAAATGTCTGCTGCTGCTGGAGCCAAGAGTGGCTGCCATCATGGGGGTCATTAACTGCCACATTTCAACCAACCCCTTCTTCTTTTTTTTGTTCTTTCCCCCTGCTGGGGGTAAGGTGTGAAATGATGTACTTTTATAGTGCCATTTAGGATGCAATTCATTTTCAATATAGCCTCTGAAGAGGATTTTATTTCACTTTCATTCTGATTTTATTCTTGAGCTTGTCAAAATTCCCCAAGGTTTTTGTTTTATCTCAGGATATCAACCCTTATTTGTTCATTTTTAAATTTGAGGGGTTTTTTATTCTCACATTTTCTAAAAATACAAAGACTCAAGATATGGTCAGCACATTTTCCTAGTGTTATAAAATCCCTGAATGTTCACATCCTGTGTTTATACATTGAAAAATATTCCTTTTTTCAAAATTTTTGAAATGCAATTGAAGAAAAATCCTTGGTAAATTAAATATTTTGACACAGACTCAGAAATTCAAGCATCCCAAGAAATTCCTTCACATTTTTAGGGATATTTTTGAAGCATATTTGAAATTTAGTGGACAAGTGCTGTGGCTGAATTTGAACCCAACATTAAACCAAGACACAAAATTTTGTATAAATGCATGAACAATTAAAAAAAACACAAAACATCAAGTATAAAATCCAAAAGGGTGATAGCAAAAAAATAGAATTGCTTTTGAATGCATAAATGTCTGTATTTATTATTGGTCAAGTGATATTTTTGCTGAAGCACCAGAGTTTCCAAGTAAGAACTTTTGAAGTTTCCCTGAAAGAAAGAATCTTGACAAAAGATCAAGTATTTCAGTAATTATGAATTCACAATTGTTTATTGCTTCTCAAAAATGAACAATCAAGGGACCCTCATCAGCAAAACAAAACAAAAAAGAGAGAGACAAAAAAAGTTTCACTGATTGAGTTTATTTGGGGGGAGATGAAGATGCCCTGATGAAGGAACCAAAATGAGCTTGCTGATGCTCCTCCATCAGTGTCTGATTATGGCTGCCTGAAGAAGAAGAATAAAATGATGCAAACAGGGGATGCAGGAAAGGGGCAGCAGGAGCAGGGCCAGCAGGTGGGAAAAATGGGGCCAGCAGTCCTTGTCTCTGGGCCAGCTTCATCCTGGCAGTCATCTGCTTCTTCCACTTGGTGCGCCTGTTTTGGAACCAGGTCTTGATCTGGACCTCTGTCAAGTTGAGGGTCTTGGACAGGTCCATTCTCTTGCTGACACTCAGGTACTTGTCTTGCTATTCATTGGGAAAAATATATATACAGTATTTGAAACAACAACAAAAAAACAATCAGCATTTATTTATCCATTTCAGAAAATGATGAACATATGAGGGACAACCTTGAACTCTGCCTCCAGGCGCTCCAACTGCTTGGCACTGTAGGCCTGTCTTGGTTTCCTGTCAATGCCTGGCTTTCTGGCTCTTCTGCCCTGAGGCTTGGGTGCTGCAGGGACAACAACAACAGCAACATGAATGAGTACATGTCAGCATCAGCAATCAATCAACCAATTGCTGTGAGTTATTGTTTCAGTAGTGTGAAGCTGTCCATTTGGGAATGGCTTGACAAATGCCCAAAATTTACTTTTCATAACTCAATCAATAATTTAATTTTTGGCTTCAGCTCAAATATAGGGATAGACTGTGAATAAGTGTGTATTATATCAGTAAGTAAAATGAACATCAGTGGCCAATGTTACAACTTTTAGAATATTATTTGCAGGCCATTCACTTGAATTATGCCAAATATGTTAAAATTCAGCACTTGCAAAAAATGATGAATATTTCACAGATCTGAAACCCATTTCCCAAAAGGTTTTTCCAGTCTTAAAGCTCTTCATGTGGGGGTTTTGTTGTTGTTGTGTGAATAGAATGAAGGTGGACAAATTGTTAATGCTGAGTTTTAATTCTAATCATTCCAGACAATCTTTAAAACAATTTTCATCACTTTAGGAAGATGAGTTTCACCTGCAACAATTGCATGTTTTATAAATTTATTTAGTATTTTAAATCTGCATAAAATTATTTTCATAGTTTTTTGTGAAAATATCCCTATATGAAAAAAATGATTTGACTGGCTAATGGGGCTTGAGAACCTGTTCTGACTGTAAAATGCCCTTGAATGTCAGTAAATTGACAAAAATTAGCTTAAAGCAAGGATTCAATTGAAAATAAGGAAAACAAATACAAATGAACACAGAGCAGATTTTGATCCTTTGGTGGCCAAAATATTTAAATTGTCAGGTTGCTGTACTGTACTAAACAAAACATGGTGTATCATCTCAAGTCCCACCTTGAAGTCCAAGAAAGGGTCTGCCAGTGACCCAAGGGTTGCAAAACAATGCTGAAGGCCCAGGTAACCCATGAAAGGGATGCAGTCCAAGGGGAAACACTCCTGGTCTTTCAGAAAAATTCCCTAGCCTCAAGAAATCCTCAGGGGCCATCCTTGACTGAAACTGACTGCTGTCTGCAACTTGTTCTTGATTATCTATATACACACCACCAAAAAATAAAAATAAAAGTGTCAAATATAAAGTCCTGGAAAAAGCATTGACACACACACACACACATGACAAACCTTCAGAAGAGTCACTCTCAGCTCCACCTGGTGGAGAAGCATGGGTGTCCTTGATGGTGCCCCCAGGCTCCAGGATTTTGTCAATTGAAAACACAACTGGTTTCCCAGAGGCCATGACCACCAGGGATGAGGTAGGCTTGATGACTGAGAGGATCCCTGAGCTGTGGGTCCAGCAATTTTCCTCCCTGGTTTTTCTCCCCCTCCTTTTCTGATATGGGGGGAGGATCCTGCGCAGGGATCTTCCCTCCAACCAACCAGAAGATCTCCTTTTCTCTTT